TGCTTTGAATTGTTGTCATGTCATTTGTATTGCTTTAAGCATGCTAAATGTTTGTGCTTAGCAGAAAAACAAATAATCTGCTCGAACACAAACAGGGTATTCCGTATGGTTTTTGCGGGTTAAAGATAAGGAAGTCATTTCTGTGACCAGTGATGTGGTCAGATGACAGGAACGAGAGTTTTAGTAGACCACCGTGCGTAAAGGCTGTCTACACATATATTCTTTTTTTCACTGACATGGCGTAGTCCAGTTTCTCCACATTGATTTGATGCATAATTTAGACACAGTTACTCCCTTTAATAGTCCAATGGGACCTTGATGGGCATCTTATGTCTACATATTTAAAAAACCTCTGCTGGGCGTTACGAGGCCACGTTGGTCTCTCAGTCTGCAGGGTGATGACGGGGCATTCGTGCCTCCTGGGGAGGATTGGTTTACTGAAATGGTAGAAAGCATCTTTCATGTAGAGAAAAAATACAGCACATGTGCAGGCCATACTTAGAAACACAGAAAAAATGCAGATGCCTATTTTAAGCGGTGCTATTGATTCGGATCCTTCTAAAAGGAGGGTGGAGGTGTCTGTATTACATGCATTTCTTGACCTTTCCCGGGATGTAGTCAGGTTTCCTCCGCTCTGCCATTCATCATTCAGCTAATGCAGGCCTGGCTAATGTTATTAGCAATGCAACACGAGCTCGCAAATAGGATAAATGGAAATGGAAAGGTGTGAAAGTGAGTGAAAGTGTGCAGACTGCCTTGCATTATATACAGTTTGTCAATGAAGCCTTTCCTTTTCCGAACTGAGCTATCATTCATCCTGCACTGTGAGTGCCTTTCTTTGGTGCAATGAATGTTCTCTTCATGCAGATGTTTAAACACATCAGTCGCACCTCGGGACTCGCAGTAAATTGTCTTTCTCAGTGTGAGCCGGGATGAAAGCTCTCCTGGGAGTCTGCTTCACATAACAGTGACTCAACACAAAGCTACAGCTTAACTACAGTATACTACCTATTTATTGTAACTCTCCCTCTTTCCCTCAATATCTCCTGGCTGATGTAGAAAACACAACTGGCTTTAAACCAAAGGACAGACCTGGTGCTCCAGAGGCTGCATACCTCAGCTGGAACAGAATGGGAGCTTAAAGGCAGCGGTATAGCTATAACAATTTCATTTTGGCTTCAGTGGGTTTAAAACACTCATGAAACAAAACTAAAGCTAGCCCCGGGTTTAACGAGCGTGGGGCTGTGTGTGCAGGGAAATGTGTTTATTAGCGGGGTGTGGACGAGAGGAGGAGAGAAACATTTTAATTTTTATGAGACATCGAGGTCTTTATCGTGAAGTTAACCCCAGGGTTTTGTGCAGAGGTTGGTGTCTTGTCTTCCGCCAGTTCAGGGTGGAGATGAGCAGCTATCAGGCGCAGCACATGCACAATGACCTCTTTGTCAGCCGCCAAACACTCCCCCTCTCTCAGCTCTGCTTCTATGTCAATCTTCCTCTGTGCTTGTCGCCGGACGTCCACACATCCATCACACACACATACTACAAATTATTCAAGTGAGCGCTCTGTCTTCTATTAGGGAGGGTTAATAGGGAGAGCGGAGGGGAGGGCAGACAGAGAGGCAGAGTGTTAGGGGAGAGTGAGGAGGGGGTGCAGATGAACAGAGGAGCTGCTGTAAAGTGCTCTGATTAGCAGGAGTAATTATACTGCAGCGGTGAAGGCGCTGAATGCACACTGGCCACCTTCCACCACTCGAGGGCCACTGTGGGAAGAGATAGAGAAGTGAAAGGAGAAGGGGGAACGTGATGAGCACGGTAAAAAAAAGGGAATAAAAGTCTGGCGCTATCAGTTTTTTTAATCTTTCCCTCTCTCATTGTTTCGAGGACAAACATTTGAACAGACCCTCAGCACGTCAATGCAAATATTCTCAACTGGAGACTGAACAGCATGTTTTTGGAAGTGCTCCGCAGAGGCAAAGCGGACATAGACCTTTGCTAAAAGACCCGGAAGGTGTTTTCAATTTCTGATCAAAGAGGTTCACACATGTGCGGGGTCCGGAGTTTAAGGGAAAATGTACAAGTTGCAGCCACTTGGCAGGAGGAAGAGTGTGTGTGTGCGGAGTTAGCCCGCTTTCAGCTGTATCGATTTTGGATGCTCATAATGTGTGTGTGTGTGTGTGTGTGTGTGTGTGTGTGTGTGTGTGTGTGTGTGTGTGTGTGTGTGTGTGTGTGTGTGTGTGTGTGTGTGTGTGTGTGTGTGTGTGTGTGTGTGTGTGTGTGTGTGTGTGTGTGTGTGTGTGTGTGTGTGTGTGTGTGTGTGTGTGTGTGTGTGTGTGTGTGTGTGTGTGTGTGTGTGTGTGTGTGTGTGTGTTGTGTGTGTGTGTGTGTGTGTGTGTGTGTGTGTGTGTGTGTGTGTGTGTGTGTGTGTGTGTGTGTGTGTGTGTGTGTGTGTCCTCCAGTCAAGTGTGGGTGTCCATAGAGGTCATTCAGCGAAACCTGAGCGTTGGCAGAAGAAATCCCAGTACACAAATCGACCCTCAGCATACTGTAGAATACCAGCACAGCACATCTGCTGCAGCTCTGCCCCTCTCTCTTTCTCTCAGTCTATCTCTGTCATTGTGTAATGTAATTGACACTTGGTGACAGCTGGATATTAAATGGGGATTTAGGTTTTTGAAAATATTCCAATCATATATTTTTTCCACACACAAAAGAAAGAGAGACAGCGGGATAGAATTTGCATTTTTCTTTTGTGACATTGCAAAACAGGCAAACAAAATGAGACTCTCAGCTTCCTGTTTGCATCAGAACACATATCTGTATGCATCGTAGACCACCATGCAAGGCCTGGAACCATCATCAGCTCCACATGTGACTGCAGCTTTACCCACAAGCCCACTGGTGCTTTGTGACAGGGCTCTCCTTTCAAACAGACGAAAGGTCACTTATCGTGCCATCTCCAGTGGCTACCATCTCTGCCGCTACATTACTAACGTTTAGGACAAGATGGGTCAAAGGTGGGACCAGCTGCATGGGTGGGCACTAAATGGGCAGCATTGTGGTCTACTGTACATCAGATATGTCTAGAATAAAGTCGATATTCTGCTGTGTTTTAGGGGGTATAGAGTCCAGTTTGTCAGTCTTATCGCATTACAGTCTTCAGAGTTGACACGGCTTCCTCATTGACTAGTCTACATTACCGTACTGCAGGAATGAGGGTTTATTTTCTCAAGACTGTACATTTTACTCTATAATCAAAACCAACAAGGCAGAACTTTGAGAACTCTTGTTTTGTTTTTCTTCAACTTTCCACTTTTACTGGAAATTGCTAACAGGAGTAAGATTCTACAGCTTTGTTAGAAGCTGTGAGGCTGTGCTTTGGCATTTGGTGCTACGTGGTAAATGCTATATCAGCATACTCAAATGCCCACAGTGTCAAATGTGGCACTGTTTAGCAGGCAAAACTATACTAAACTAAACTATGGATTAGACTAAACTATTGGGCAAGAATTGGTAAAAAAGCAATCAATTTTGACCTGATGAAGGCGCTAAAAACAAGTTATTACAATTCATACTTATTGTGACATGAATGCAATCCTTCCAATGTAAGAACTTCATTCTGGAAGACACAGGTGGACGGACTAAAAGCCTGATATTACCATCAGTCATCATTATGGCTAAAAACTGCTTGAAAAATGTCTCCGTTTTCACTGGAAGAAAATCCCCTTTCTTTATTCCGTTTTGTGACATCTCCCTGTCAATAAGGAATCCAGCAGATTCCTGACATGGTGACACACTATTTGAAAGTAGGAGAGCCAAGCAAGAGCCACTATTGAATTGCTTGTTTGTGTTCAAAATCACTGTGATGATTTATTGATATTGAAAGTGTAGCGCCTTTGATGGGGTTTGGTACACGTGGAAGGAGAGGTGTTAAGTCATCGTCTGTTATTAGCCTTTCTTCCACCTCATCTCCCACTCCTGCTCTTATCTTTCCTCGTCCATTTCTCCACTGCCTGTCAGTGCTATTACAGTCTATTAAAAGAGGAATTTACACCCTACATAACACATCCTCTGCACTACAACAGGGTGTTGACAGATTTTGAGGTTCATTAACTTGCTGGATCCAAATACCTGCCAGCGCCTGAGTTCCTCAAATCCCAAGGAAGTCAGGCTTAGAATGACAAATGTTGTAGCTCCATTAAAAATCCTAACATGAAAATTAGAAGCCTCTATTAAGATGTTCATTTAAAAATTATAACACGCACAGGAAATCGATAAATGCCCTGCATTAGCAAATGCTCCTGCCTTCTGAGAAGCATTTTAATCATACCACAAAGTGCCTCTTTGGTCTATGTTTGCATAACAAAACCTCACATTTAAAGAGAGAGCTTTTATATGGAAAAGATAATGACCACAAACCTCTGAAATTATAGTTGGTTTTCAAGTGCTGAAGATACCAAGCCTAACTTTTCTGTCCTCCCCTATCTAATATGGCTTCAAGAAAGATACCAGATTTCTATCAAGGAAACCGAGAGCAATGCCACCTAAGCCATTTTTACCTCCCAGATTTGTGCCTTGTAGCCCCCTGATGAGGTTCATTTCATGCCTCGTCTGAGCCAAGATTATTTACAACTTTGATGGTCATAAACTGCCTCTACTCTAAAATACAAGCAGCTTGACTCCATGCATGTTACTTTCTGGGAGAGCAGATTATTCATTGTCTCTGTGTTGACACTGCAGCGGTCTTTGACCTTTTAATGCTGAAGTTTTGAACTTCCTGCCATTTCAAAACATGACCAGCCCCGACCTCTGACCCCGCCTGCTCCGGCAGACATGTGGGAGTTACTAGTGGCTGCTCCCAGTGTGATTGAGACATACAGTAAATGATGACTCCAACACCGCTTTCAAATGATCTGATCAGCCGCTGTGAAGCATGTGCTCTGATATTGTTCTCATTTCAAAGATGCTTTCACACCTAGCCCACATGTGCTTGTTTGTTTCAGATATTCTTTGGAGAACAGACCAAACAACGACATCAAGACAGCTTCCAGAGAAACAAATACATCAAAAGTAAAAAAAAAGTAAGTAAAGAGGCGTTATTCTAAAATGCTTTTAGAAGGTAACTAGCAATGCTGATTTCATAATGAACTACTTCATCTGTAAAATGTCAGAATTGTGTAAAATGACAAATGTTTACTCATCTCAATTACCTATGCTCAATTCATTTGTTTTCGTCCAACCAACAGTTTCCGAGCTAAAATATGTTTTGCTTTACTGTTTTTTGAATGTCAAATTGATTTTTTCAATCAAATTATCATTTCAGCTATTGTTTACATTTACTTTGTGAGTCTACTTCATGCTGATGATGTACAAAAAATGTTAAAGGTCACATATTATGCAAAATCCACTTTTTCATGTCTTTTATACATAAACATGTGTCCCCTCTGTGTAAAGAGATTCTGAACATGTCAGGAAAAAATATTTTTGTCCTGATCCATTTATATAAAAACCTGTCTGAAAATGAGCTGATCAGATTTTGGCCACTTTGTGATTTCATACGGTTTTTGTGGCTTGTGTAACCATTAGCCAATAACCAACCAAGGTAACCCCCCACCCCCCACCTTATCACCTGAATCTCCTCCTAGAGCACCATTGTGTTCTTTTTAACCAAATATCTCTCAGAGCGGCGTGGGGAGTGGCTCCTTATTTTCATCTAAAGTAACAGACAGAGAATCAGCACTTTTGAAACAGGGCTGAAACAGAGGGGATTATGGGATGCTACAATGCACGATCTGTTTGGTATTTCAAGCCAAACACTTCAGAGACATGTTTTGTATATATCTGAGACCTATAATATATTGATGAAAAACAGTATAATAGGGGACCTTTAAAAGAAAGATTTACCACTCAGTGAAATTAGTTCATGTTTACATCTCTTGATTTTGGTTGGTAATAAGTCAGACAACAATAAATCCAGTTGGTCTGGATGGAGTTAGCTGAAGGAAAGGTGTGAAAGCGACCTGTGTTTGTGGCAGACTTACTATGGCAGACAGAGTCGCCGTTTGGTGTGCACCCCTCCAGCTGTATCTCAGTCTCGTCATCACAGATGGTGCAGGGCAGGCAGGGGTCGAGGGAGCTTTCCCGCTCAGAATAGGTTTCGTCCACACACTCCTCGCAAACCGTGTCGTGCTCGTTTTCGCAGTGTGAATAGACGCCCATGCCAACTAGGCACACCGTACAGGGCATGCACTTTGCAGACACCTTGTCAAAGAAATAGTTGTAGTCGCAGATGCAGACAGCGTCGTTGGAGTCCGTACAGGGCGTCTCCATCCGCATCAGGCCGGTACACTCAGTGCACGGCCTGCACTGCTCTTTGTGGCTGTAGATGTCCGAGAAGGTCTCACCTGCAGATTGGAGGACAGATCGAAGGAGTCGAGACAGAAAAGTGAGAGGGAGGAAACGAGAGAAGGGGCAAAGAGTGAAGGAGATTAGAAGACAGAGAGAGAGAAGGAAATATGGGCAGATAAACAAAGGGATAAACAGTGAGTCTAATGACATGAATCATGTTTACTGCACATTCATTAGAAGGGAGGACACATTGATCCACTGGGCCGTTAGTGATTTGTGCTCCGGGACCAGAAAGGTCCTCTTGTCGGGGAACAAGTCAAAAGCCTGCTGTGCTCATTACTCTATCGATCCCAATGTGTTTGCGCTGTGCTGAGTAAACTGCTTTAATCTCAGCCATGCACACAGAGTAAAGTGCAGGGTCATCGACAGGCTGACGCGCAGATGATAAAGACTTGTATTTAGTGTCCCTAAGCGATCAAGGGGTCATTCTTGTATAGTAAAGGCTTTAGAGAGTGGAACTAGTTGTTATGCCAAAAGGAGTCCATTCGTGACATTGTTGACATATTTTCCTGTAATTCATTCACAGCTAGACTTTGATTAGATTAGAGAATGTTTAATAATGCCCAAAAACGACCTCAAAAATCTCAGTTTGTAGATCGTAGTTCTTGATTTGATTGGTTAATACTTCTGCCTTGTATCATCTTTTAACCTCTTATGAATACACTTTAATAGATTGATTAATCAACTACACAAGGTCAACCCGTTTGTCACGAGTATAATAGATGATAATCTATGGAAGTCTGAGGGGCGTGTTTACTAAGAATGGCGTCTGATTGCAATTATCAAAGTATAAGTGTGATTGAGGCCATCGGTTGGTTCTGAGAGGTAGGAGTCAACCTGAAGGTCTTTGAGTTACCATCAACTCTCTGAGTAATCACGCTGTAACTTTTTGTCGCTATTTGCACTGATCTGTGTGAATTTGAATGTTTATTTGTGCTGAATGTATCCATTTGAACTGAACACTGAAACACCTTTTGCCCAGCAGCACAATTGGGTGCCAAATTATTCTTATCTAATCTTTAGGTTTAGCGACTGCAGAAGCTGCAAAGTGCTTTGTGATTGTCCCTTGAGAACCTGCAGGTATGTGGGCGACTCTGTGAAACTAAACTTAAATGCTTACATTTGTTAACATGATGACACTGATACTGTCATCCCTCTATTTGGAATGTGTAATGTTAATCACCTTCACTATCTTTGGTTGTTTGCATACTAACATTGATGAGAACTTGAGTAGCTTTGCAGCATTTGAGTCATTATGGCACACTAGACTGGACATCATCAAGACTGTGCAATATTTCCCTGCATAACATTTGCTTAATTTTCTGGTATTTCAGTCGGTACCAAAGTGCTATCCAGGCTGAAAAGTATGTTTTAGATCTATTTTGTGCCAAACATTTGTAACACCTTCAAGGTATTTGGACTGCTTGTCTGAACAAATGTTGTTCTACATACTATTGCTAAGAGTTTGTTGTAAAAGAAGGTGGCTTTTTAAATCACTGCATGTGTCCAAAGGCAGTCATTTTAAAGAACAACTCAATTGCAGAGTATTGATTTTCTTTTTTTAAAGGGTTGTGAGAAAAACAGATAGCAGAGCGCAGCTGAGTTGTGGGGAACGGTGTTGAACAGAATGAGATAAAGCTGACTTATCGCCTGCTGCTCTGCACTCACTTCAAACACTTCAGATGTGCTCTCCAGGAAAGTTTGCATCAGGAAGATTCACAAGAGTTCCTCCATGGGGAAGAGATGGCCGCAAATTAGATTAATCCTGGGCTGAGAGTTCTTAGTAATATATTAATATTGCATGTCCATATATAGAATAATTTTTCGATATAATTGGTTGCCTGCTGAATTATGCATACAGTGAGAGAGGGGAGGGCCTGTGAGTGTGTTTTAGTGGTCGAATGAGAAGGGAGTGGAATAGAGAGGCTGACGGGAAAATAAATCTACCGCTCAGATTCACTACAGAGGCTGCTTCACTGTTCTCCAAATCCCATTTAACTTTTTTGTGGCGTGTAAGAGCTGCTGTTCAGAAAGAAATCATGTGTTATTCCCTGCGAAAACGTAAGTAGTGGTGGCAAAGTGCAGCAGGGAGTTTAGCATCCATTCATCCAAAGTTTCACAATATGAGAACATGTAACCCTGACTGCTAAAGATTACTAAGAAATTGCATTCTCTATGATGTTCAAGGTTTCAAGGTGAGTAAATAAAGTGAGTATGTGGAATAGTGCAGTACGAGTCTATATACAAGTTATTGGAATGATATATATTAGATATTAGATATATATTACTGAGTAGCAGATGAATGTTTTGAAATTGTTTCAGCAGTTCAATTGTTTAACAGTCTTAACAGTTTAACAGTCTCACTGCCCGCGGGAAGCAACTGCCTCCGAATCTTTTTGTTTTTGCCAGGATGCTGCGGTAACGTCTGCTGCCAGGAAAAAAAACATGTTGTCACAGATTACGGCCGCAGTTTTTAACCCATGGTTGATTTTGCAAATTGAAAATAAAACAAAAAAAATAGTTTTGTTTAGGTTAAATCAATTAGGTAAACGCTCCGTCTTAAAGTTAAATGAATCTTTGGGACTTGGTGTAACTGTAAATAAAGCCGCATGACTGTGTGGACGTTTGAGACTTTTTGGCACAGCTCTTATCAGCATATGCATATGCCTGGGTGTGTTTCTGTTTGTGTGCGCGTGTGAGTGTAGGTGCGCGTGTGTGTGTTTTTCATTGGAAGTACTTAGTGCGAGTCGTGTTGAGAAACAGCATATTGTCAGTGTGAAAAGCCCTGCAGCAATGTCCCAGCACTTGCTCTGCGTTGCTCTGGCAAGTAAACGCTGGCACAGACTGGAGCTCTGAACACCTTGTAAACAGCAGCAGGACTAAGAAGCATACGCTGAATCTGTCACATTACACAGGCAGACGCAAAGGAGAAGACGGAGGTTATCATGTAAAGACAGGTAGGGAGGAAGTAGACCAATTTTCCTCAAATAAATCTCGTGACTGTTAGACTCGGCGCCTGTGAGGGTGGTCCAACCCGAGTCCAAAAACATGATTTAGAGATCAAAGTGTTTGACGTACGACTGGAAGTGGAAGGGTCAGGGGAAATGCGGTAGGCAGGGTTGTGGGCGAGTTCAGTTTCCAGACACACACACACACACACACACCATCAGATTCTGTGTTTTTCTCTCTCAACACCCATGCTCTTAGTACTGTCCCGAGGCAGAAGTGATAGAAGAGAGTGACACCGACTGAACGATACGGACAAATAGCAGACCTCGGAGGTGAACGATTATCTGAATTTGTGGGCTTGAAGCCTTTGTTTTTCTTTGCAGTGAGGCTCAACCAGGAAAGCTCTTCTCATTCATTTCAATTATCTCACAGCGCGCTAGCTTCCTTGGCTAATTTTAACCTGCATGCATGAGCCCCTTTCCAGTCCTTGTGTGTGTAAACATGTCTAAATGCGACCATATGCGGCCGGAGGAGTGTGTGCGCGGCGTTTGTATTTTTCCAATGTATGTTTCAGCACTTTCATTTGAAGGCAAAAATAAGAAATCGTTTGAGAATCAGGTGGTGGGTGTCTTCTTTAATAAAATATTATAATTTTTCTAATTGCCCCCAAATGAGTGATGATCAGAGCA